GGAAAGAGTATCTTTTCTTTTTCTTCTTTCCTTCCTTTCTTTCTTCTTTCTTTTTTTTAAATTGAATTGTCAGTTGCTGTAATTTATTTGTTTTACAGTTTCAGCGGCTAAAGAAGCTGTTTAGATCGAGCCAATTCCCGTGAAAGGCTTTTCTTGTGGTCTCTTGGCATGATTTCTCTTCGGAAGAAAAACTGCTGACAGAATACACATTGCCAGACAATCCTGATTACATTTTAATTAGCTGGGTGAAATAAGCTGCAAATTACTCAGGACTTAATAACTGCTGTTTTTGCAATCAATTGCAAAGCCATTCTTGGAGGTTTAACCCTAACCTGGTAATGCCTATCTGATTTATCTAAATTGCAGGGATTAAGCGTTCTTAAGATTTGAGAAGACAGAAGCACACACTCCTTATAAAGCGTCAAGCTTCCCTGCCCCTCCCCCTTTTTAAATAATTGGAAGGCTGCGGAGGGATCAGCCTGCGGGCAACTCATTACTACGCCGCACGTGGGGGAAGAGCCCCTTCTATCAGGGTCACCCCACCCACTTGTGCAAATAAACCGGAGCAGAAGGCTGTTTCTGGGGCAGGTGCGGGTTCCCAACTTCTCCTGCACAGTTCCCGGCCTCCTTTAAAGGAGCTGCCAGGGCCAGTGACCTGGGGTAGCAGGCCTGCAGAGAAGGCTGGGGTCCAAACGTCTCCGCCCCAATTTTGCACACTCGCCAGTGCCTCCCAGCCTTGCAGCTCGAGGCTGGAGGTGGATGGAGCGCACGCGTGCCTCCACGTGTGTGGGGCTAGATCGGCTTCACTTGTCAATCATGTGGCTGTCAACCTTGCCTGATGGCGCGGGGGACCCAATACTGATGCCTGGAAGTGGGTGTGGTGATGGGGATACTGGAGTATCTGTATCCTGAGTGATCTGCCCACGGTCCCCGACCTGAAGGAGCTTAGGATTTCATACTGCAAGGGAGATGGATTCTGAACTGAACCACTGATTTCACCACTGAGGGCTGCCTCTCATTTGTGAAAAGCAGTAACGGCTAGCGTCTCACAGGTTGTCAGTACCCGGCTCCACGATGCCGTGCGCAGGGCATTTGGCACGTTGCCATTTCAAGTTCACACGTATCATGCGTGCACGTGGCTAAAAGCCTGGCAACGGAGGCAGTTGGGAAGGGCGTCGTTTCCTCGGTGAATGCAGCTGAGGTCCGAGCTGTGGGCTAAGGAGCAGGGAGGTGGGCTCTGGAGCCAGGCAGATGGCGCTCTGCGTCAGGCTTAGCCACTTGGCAGATACGTAGCTTGGGGATCACCTTCCTGAACTTCCAGCCTCTCGTGTGTCCGGTAGGACACCTGCCCAGCAAGGTGGAGATCATGAAACCTGTTGGGGATAATGATAAGCGATGGTAATAAAGGGGTCACCGTTCTGGGGGTCTTACAAGTCTGTCTCATTTCATCCCCACAGCCGTCATACAAAGAAGGTACCGTTGGTGTCCTCCTAGAGCTGATAAGGACCCGAGGTGCTGAGGCGCTAATAGACGGGGGATCTGGGTTCCCAGCAAGGACAGCGACAGGTTTGGGATTTGTCCTTATTTTTAGGATTTTATTGGTTAGTGGTTTAACTTACTTCAGAACTGGCTGCCTGTTTCTCAGGCCGCAGCGCCAAATGGAAACATGCCGTCCGCTATTCAGAGAGCAAGAAGTGTTGTCGAAGGAACTAAAATAGAAAACTGGTTCTTTCTTCTGTGACCCTTCTCTCTTGGAATTTGCTATCCAGTGCTGTTCTCGGTAAAGCATAATGTAAAGATGAAGTCATTCGCCTGGGCCTCACTGTTCATCTTTCTCTTGTGCACGCAAACATCAGAGCATTTCACTTGTATGTGGAATCACCAGCAGTACACAGTTTTGATGTCCCGGTTCATCCCTGGAGGGAAAAGTGGGGACCAGACTCAGGAAGGTGGGAAGGAGGAAGTGAGGACCCCCAAAGTGCCCTGTGTAGGGTGTGCCCCATGGGTGCCCCACAAGGGGATCTTGCAGGACATGTGTAGACCGTCATGGGCACCCGGGGTCTGGCGAGCGCATACGCCTGCTCAGGCACGGCACTTGCCCAGTGCCCTGTTCTGCCAGCTGCTGGACCAGCGCGCTGCACTTTGTTCTAGCCGGATCCTCAGGAAGCTGAGCCAGGGCTCTCCCCCTCCTACGCTCAACCCATAGCAGATAGTCAGCCCCCAGGTGTGCTTAGATCTGCTTGCCAGATGCAGTTAGCTACCTGCATTAGGGACGGGCAGTAGGCTTGTTCCTGTGGAGTCTTGGACTCTGGCTGGCCATCCACCAAACACAGTTTGATGGCCCCAGCCTGGGCCGGGGACAGCCACCACTAAATTCTGGGACACATCAACGCATGCATGCGCCACCCTGACCCTCCTCGTGCCCACTCTCAGGCCCCTGCAGAGGGTAGAGGGTGACAGTGATTTGGGGGTGAGGTGGGGGAGGCTGGGAGGGGTGGGGTGCCAGTGGGCCAGGGAGTGGGCAGCCGAGAATCTTCCCGGGGGAGGAGGGGGTGGGGAGAGGCAGCAGCATGCGTGCCGGAGCCTCCAGAACATGCTCCCATATCCCATCAGACTCTGCACATACGAACGCAAGCTCGAAGATAAGATCTTTGAGGATTTCAACACGGCGATCTCGGCACATTAACCCTCAGGTGCAGGGCCCCTTCTGAGCCAGGGCCACGTGCACCGGTCATTTGTCCCTGAAGCTGGCCCCAGTTTGGGTTTTTTAACCCTTGGAAGAGGTAGGTTAAGCCCACTTGTCCTGGTGGTTCTTCATAGTCTGTCCATCGTGTTCAAGGGTACAGTGCTGACGTGCTCACTTGGGAATGACCTGCTGTGCACTTGTTTTCTCAACCTCACTAGAAGATTAAAGAAGAGGGAAAACAGTGAGAATGTGCCTGAAATAAGCTCTGTCTCTTTTTGGGTGACTATCGTTTAGCTTGAGAGTGGCCTGCTCTTCTGTGCTTGTTGGGACCTTCAGGGTGGAGACCCTGCCTGTCTCGCTAGGTTCTGCTCACCATGGCAGTGATGGATCTGAGTCTCAGAGCCTTACAGATAGAGTCCTTCCACTACATACTAGCAGACCTGCAACCTGCTCATTCTCTCCCTATGTTTTCTCAAAGGAGGCTCAGTAGAATTGGGCTTGGGGAAAAAGAGTAGCCCACGTGTAATAGAATAGGAAGAGTG